GCAACTCCATTTTTCCTCACTTTTTCATCTCCAGAGTAATATATCATATGGTCATCCTACTCAAAATGCCCCATGCCAGTCCATCTCATCTCACCTAAATATGCACAGACAAACCAAATATGGATTAAGTATAAATCATTTTATCAAGACAGTGTTATCATTTCAAACTATCAACAGGCAGAATACTATTTTAACTGTTGCACTACCAGACTTGTTATACGTTGATACTACCCTCTGTATATCAATCATCTTAAATTGGAGCTTTCTGAAAGAAATGATATTTAATGTTACATTTATGTATCAATCTATATTTGCCATCTACCTACCTCTCTACCTATTTATTTACCTTTAGTAAGACTTAGTGAACTAACTCAGGCACATAAGGAGAAATACTGCATAAGATCATTGTTGTAAAAGCAGAAGGATAAACCCAAAGAAACTGATTTGCAATCCTGAAGGTATGAGGTTCAAGGCCACCAGCTACTCTATGAGTGAAGGACGGACAACCTCCTATGGTGTGATTAACTGTCCCTGAAAACCTGCCAGAGGGTCAGCTATGGGTCAGTTCAAACTCCATGGTACACAACAGCAATAACCAGTAGGTTATATATGGATATCTAAAGAGGGAAGGGAAAGGGACAGGAGAGAGGTAGAATCACAGAGTCATAGAGTATGGTGAATAGAGGAAGGGGTTAAAAGAATTAGGAAAGATCCAAAGGGGATCGAGAAAGACAGAATAAAAGTTGGCAGGGATCAATGGTATTAATTTTGTAAGACACGATGTATGGGAGTGATCGTAAGAAAGCCAATGTGAATAAAAACTAATAATATAAAAATGAAAAAATATTAAACACATTTCTTTAGTATTAAATTACTGTTTTTCACAAGGTCTTTAAAACAAATTTGCTTGTTAAATGTCACTTAGTGTAATTTTAAAGGTACTTATTTCAAACTGTCATTATTCATTTTTTAACCCTTTTCATTTATACTCCAAATCAACTCTGACAATATCCCAGTGAGAACTTACCCTAAGCATGGGTCCATTTTGAAATACATGTGGCTCATCACAAACCACACAGTACTCATTCAATACAGGGATCCGCTGTTCAGCAAACTCAATGGTCTGCAGGCAACAATGACAAAAAAAACCAAAAAGAAACAAAACAATCAGGTGAAATGCATACTCATACACGCTAAGGACTAAAACGTTTTCTAATGGATGAAGCCTTTTTTCTTACCTGCACTAGAAAGCCGCGGTCTCGTATTGGAATACATTTTGCACCATTTGGCTATAGAAAGCAAGGTAGAAAATAAAAAACAGAAATCTTTTTTTTTTAAATTGGGGAAAACTGTAAATTATGGCCTGTCATTTTCTGAGAATAGTGAAAAGAGCTGAACTGTGACCTTTCTAGGACTATATGCAATATGAATTACATGTCTGATTACTAGAAACTTTTATGATTTCTTTATTCATTCTAATATTTTTGTATTGCAATCTTTGTGTAAACTAAATGAATAAAATTATTAGTGTCTGATATTTTAATAAAAAAGACAGACACCTTTACAGGATCACAACAAACATGCTTTCTCTATTTCTCATTATCAAAGGCAGCAAGTTCTTCATTTATAGTTCTTTAATCTTATTTTACAGTCACATACAGTTATTCCTCCAAAAAAATAATAGATAGCTACTAAAAGTGGTACATCACTAATAAAACTACATATTATTCCTACCTACACAGGAGGTAATTAGGACACATTCTTCTGCAGAATATTTCAAATTATATTTTCCACTGTGTAATTCTAAATTAATGTTTCCATGTCTGCAAAGCTTAGTTTTGAAAAGAAATGGGCATGTCCTCTTAAAATTATCAATATACTCAAATTTTCTTAAAATACACGTATTTTTACAATATTACTTACAACTTAATTTTAGAAATACAAGAGTTACATAACTTCCTAAAACAGTTATCTTTTCTCTTTCATAATTTTCATTATTGAGTGTATTAATATTAATGATAAGTACTAATGCCCCCATCAAACACATGGTTAGTAAAATGATACACATTTCCCCCATTAATTTATACATGTGAATGATACTCATAATGCCTCTTCATCTATAAAGTAACTTTAGTATAAAGCAGATATTAAGAACAATGCACTGGCACAATCATATTCTTGTATACAACGAGAAGGACATTACTCCTAATTAGCAAACCTGTCCTCTATTACTCATGTGAGAAAACCAGAGATTTCATAACCTGTATAATGTTAAAAGTTTATGCCTGCTTAAAAAAAAAGACTTTGAAAATCCAATTGATTTCCTTCCCTTTTTAGCAGCTTTCATTACCATGACAGTGTTTTATGTAAGAACTCAGATCAATTAGAAACAAACACACACTTGGTGCTGTGCCATATGCCATGTACAGGAAGAGTAGAACTATCCCATGATCTTCCAAGGCTGTCAATTTACTGCAAGCAAACTGTCGCATCTAGCTTCCTTGAAACAGTTAGTGAATTTGAACCATCGACCTTTTTAGTTAGCAGAAAACTGCTTTAACCACTGCACCAAAGCTAACATTTCAGTAGCACCTGCAAATGCCTGGCATGCAAAATAGTATTTAAAAAGAAAAAAACCTCATTAATTAAAAAAAAATTCATTTCTTTCTCTACTACATCTTACATAGAAGTCTACTGCACTTTAGCTAACATTTAATTGAGAACACAAGGTGAAAATACGCACGGCAGGTTGGGAAGATGAAGATGAAGATGGTGTTAAGATACCAATAAGCCCTGAGGTAAGAGAGAGCCTCCTGCCCTCTGCATTAGGTTCCTTGAAAAGCTCTGTTTTGGATGACTTGGGGGCACTGCAGTAAGACTTGCTCAGCAATTTGTGATTCTTCAGTCCATATAATTCTTCCATTCTGAGATTACTGGAGTAAGACCTGCTTAACAATTTATGGGGCTTCAAGTTGGTGTTGTGCTCACATCGTGGATCACCAGAACAAGATCGAGTCAATAGTTTATGTGACTTTAGAGTGAGGCAGTCCTCTTGCTTAACAGCTGGAGGGCAAGGGCGGTTCAAGAGTTTGTGCGATTTAATTGTTGTCATTGCCTGCTCAGCCCTGGGGTCGCTGGACAGGGAACGCCCAAAGGTCCTATGTGATTTTGTGGTGCACACGTCATCGGTCTTGACTGTGCTGGAACAAGTCCTCCGCAGCAGCTTGTGCGTTTTGGAGATTCCATCTTGCTCAGGTTTTAATTTGGATTTGTTTTTACCACAACCGGGGGGAGGGTAACTTGGCGACCTTCAAAAATGAACAATTAATACAGAGCAAATTGTCAGTACAACAAGCTATGGTGAATGCTGGTCTGACCCAAATTCAGCTCTTTATAAATCAATGGGTCTGGTAAAATCTGGAGATACTATGAGAAATAGTTTACTAACTCATCTTAATATGGTTTAAAACTAAAGATGAGCTACAACTGAAAGAAATGTATTTTCCATGAAAAACAACACAAAAAAAGCTAAGTGTTCCTCCCGGCTACAAAATCAGCAACTCCAAACACGTATCCCAAAATCCTGTATGAAACTATTGTTTGGTTGGAATAGGTCTATATACTTGGAAAAAAAAAATAATATCGTTTTAGTAAATTTAACTCACGTCAAAGAAATGAAAATTCTAAATATACATGATACATGAGAATGTCTATGAATTTATGTAAAGAACCAGTCATCTGCAGCAACAGAATACACAGAACTTAGACTTTTCTTTGAAGCTATAAAGAAAAATAAACAGATGTCAAGAATATAGAAAGAATACTGTGAACTGAATAACAATTGAGGATCAGAGGCCTAGCTTTTGGTAGGACAATGATTAAGTTGTCTGTTACCTACCTGCGCAAGGTAGAAAATAAATGCAGGGGAGACTTCACTTTCTTCTCTGACAGCTTTTTACTGTGTAGGCAGCTGGATTTCTCCTTACTCTGTTTCCACTGCTGTGTAACAAATGTCTGCATGATTCTGTCAATCCAAAGGTAATTCTGTTATCATGGCTCCAGAATAATTTAAAGGGAAAAAAGTTCTGTATTTCATATGTAGAGAATGCACTTACCAAAGGAAAATAAATACGTAGTAATCACTGAGATGCTAATCTATAATCATTCAAGATGTTTTCATATATAGGAATGCATTTTGTAAACAGTTTCCTATTTAATAAGTGCAATATCTCATTTTAAAGTGTTTTCTCTTAGAACATTGCTCAATAAATGCCAATGCACGGTGCCAAATTAAAATTCATTCAAACTGAAGCGAACATATGGACAACATTATCACGAAGGTCCTGTGCATATTTTTAAAGGATCTGATGAACTCTCTTGACACATTTAAATTTAAGGAAAATTTGCATATCCATAAGATGAGTAATCTTTCAGAAATTTTCCATTAAGTATTAATTATTAATTCTGATAAGCATGGTTATTTCTCAAGGTTTTTTGTTTTGTTTTGTTTTAGTATAGTCCAAGGGGATAGCAGGAGTAGTGACGGAAATGAAAGTCCAAACAAAGATGATTTAGGCAACAGAACAGGTCACGTGTCCTAAAGGAATGATCTGTTAGAGACTGAAGCATCATCTCCCAGGAAGGGTGGAAGTCCTATCACTTGTACCATTTACAGTTGAAAAAGGCATTAATAAGTAGCTCAGCCTCCTGGAGATTGGAAATACCACAGCTAATTAAAGTACATTGCAACCTTTTAAAAATCTATTCAACTTGGATAAATCATTTGTTCTCTCATGATCTTTCATGAGAGACTCTGAGAAAGACACCATATTCCTTTAGCATAGAAGGTCACCAAAGGGGACCATGTAGCCAAGATCATTATTTAATTCAGGGAAAAGCACAATAACCACTCTGGATTTATAGCAAAATATCGAAGCAGGATCAAAGCTCTATCTCTTTTAATCACACCAGTGATAAATTTATCTTAGGAAAGACTGAAAGTCAATGCTTGTGTCTGTAATTTACCACTTGTGGAGTTTATCCTTCAATATGGCTTTCTTAGCCACGAAACAGGACTCTGCCGTGTGGATGTGAATGGGGCGTGTTAGCCTATCCACAGGGAACTGGCCAGTCTCAGCTATCTACACGGAGATTGGCTAGTCTTGTCAATAAATTTGAGCAATCCAGGAGCAGAAAGTCTCTCTCTCACAATCATCAAAGGAGCAATAGGCATGCAGTGCACACCCTTCAGGACCAGACATCCTTCTGCCAGCTAGACTCACAGCAGCAACGGCCATGCCGAAGCAAAGAACCAAAGAATCAACATGAGGTAAGACTGCTACCCACCTCCCCATGGACAGAAACAGAGCTAAGCTAAGGGACTCTAGGTTTATCCGACAACTTGGGGGGGTGAGCAGGTAGCACTGAGAACTTTGTAACACTGGCCTTAAGGGGCAACACTCAAGACTGAGGGGCCTGTGAGCCCATTTTGGAAGCTATCCAAACTCTATTCTACTATTAACCTGGATAATTATCTTTTAACTTCCCCAATGGTTCTATGTGGTCTTTGAGCTGAATAAAAAGAGCATGGGGACATGTCTGACCTCATGAGAATTGGTTTTGTGTTGTTAATGCTGTTGATGGGGAGAATTCCCTTTTGTGAAGCTGGTAAAGGTCAGACACAATTGTCTCCACATGGTCCTTGCTCTTTTTACACCATGCTTTTCTTTACTCTACGTTGTTAATTTGTTCTGATGACACAGTAGGGAGACCCATTACTTTTCTCCATCTTTAAACACTGACTTTGTTTTGTTTATTTTTTTAAAGGCATAAAAACCAGAGAATCAAGCAAATTACAACTGAATTATAGAAAAAGTTATAACAAAATCTCTGTGGAATTTTATAAAGCAAAATGCAAAGGCTTCTTTCACATACTTTCCATTTTAATTTGTTTCTAGTTTAACCTTATTAAGAGCATCAATGTTTGTCAAAGGCTGGTGCCATGGTGTTACACGTATAATTATAATACTATCAGATAGCCTATCTTTCTATTCAAATTAATTATATAGTCTGTATGTTTTGAATAACTAAGTTAGTTTTTTAAGAGCTAAACAGTCATTTTTTTATTCAAGAGCCAAACAGATCCTGCAAACGGTGGGGTAAACAGTTAACACTTCTGAGCAAAGAGAATGTTAATATGACCAAGTAGAAGAAAAAGTTCTGTAAAAGTTGCCACCTGGTGCATACTAATAGGCTTCCTATGTAGGGCTAGTGAACCAGAGTGATTTTACAGAGAGAATAATCTCATTGTTTGTCACTGAGTTAATTCCAATCCACAGTAATTCTACATGACAAAGTAGAACTTGCCCAGTGTATTTCTAAAATTACAAATCAAATAGGAGCACACTATATAGCTATAACATTTTCCCTGCTGTGCAGCTGGTGAATTCAAAGCATCAACTTTTGGTTCAGAGCTCAACACCTCCAGGGAGCTAACAAGGAGAAAAGCATGGCAAAACATACTCCCATCTCATTCTTCTTCCTGTCTGCACTGGTCACACCAGAGCACAGACACATAGCAGGTTGTGCCCTCAGAAGTTAGCCTCGCTGGGATCTCTGCGGTGTGACAGAGAAATGAGAAGAAGTGGGAGGGGCAATAAAGAAGCAGGACGGCCAGGTCCTGATAGCAAATCCTGCTAGCTAAACTGTTCTTGAAGATTTTTCTCCTGAGGTATTCATGTCAAGAAAACTTCTTAAAAATGTTAAAGGAATGAATAAAATTAGAACCTAGTTTTCCTTAACAAGAATTTACTTTTATTTTTCATCAAACTTACTTTTTTAGTTGATGACCCAAACCAAATCTTTCTTTTGTAGAAATCTGAAAGACATCAACAGTTGGCACTGAAAAAAAAAAGGAGGGAGGGACACCTCCAAGTCAAAACACTGAGTGGAAACTAGACCATCAACCAGTAAAAAAGACAGTTTGCAATAAAAAGTTAAGTCGTGTCTTATTCCTCATTATTTTCTAACAGTATATAACGATCAATATATACATCACTTGTTCCAGGCTACAAAACTGGTTGCTTTGTCCTGGAATCCTACTTCTCTTTTTTCAGTTAGGGAAGGTACTTTAAAATGCCTATTTACCAGGAGGGGAAACTGCATCTTTCTGGGATTAGCATTTACCTCTTTGAAAATGCTTTTCTCAGTCATATGTAAATTAAGCTGTCTGCCTATTAGGAGAAGAAATGCATCTTTCTTGGAATAGCATTTACTTTTTGAAGCAATATTTTCTTAGTCATATGTAAATTATAACACAATTGTCTATAAACTAGTAATGGCATGTAAACTGTTATTTTTTTAATGTAAAAATCTTGTAACTTTGAACTAGGAATTGTAATAAGTTGATTAGTACTTAACCCAAATATAAAAATCAATGATCATTCTTAGAAAGGGAGGCAATTTTTGAGAAGATTTTCTCTACTCTCCCAGATCTGCAATAAAGCGTTCTGGATATTGCAATCCTTCTGTCTTATTGGCAATTGACAGTGAGAAGAACTCCCTGTGTTCAGTAACAGTTGTTACTGTTATTGGTACTTATCAAGTTAGCTCCTATTTATATCAATTCTACTAAATAAAATGAAACAATGCCCAATATTACACTTCCTTGCTTGGTTAACTGAGAATATTAACAATGACAACTCTGTAGCAATGAGCATACCTAATCCAAAGTCTTCTTTTACGATATCATTTTCCAATAAAAGGAACTGGGATTTCTGGTAAATGTTGATACTAGGACTGGAGTAGAGAATATACAGTTCAAACCTTAAGCACTATTAGTGCCAGAAAGTAAGGAAGAGTTTTAAAAAAGAGACAAATCACAAGAGACAGGTATGCAAAATAAACAAGAGGGTTCAAAAGTATCAAAACTCAATTTGAGCAACAATAACAAAAATGATGCCCACAAAGTCATTCTGAACTCAACAAATAAATTAATGGGAATAAATATTCAATGCAGAAGTATCCTGAATAATTAATGTAAATACTATCTCCTCAAAGAGATGGAATCCAAAGATAGTTTAACACAATGACTTCCTTCCAAAAGATATGAAAAAGAAAAGAAGGGGAAAGAGTAGCTGTACAATGGAGAAACTTGACTCTGTCAGATGATTAAGGATAGTAACAACTGTTATCATATCCTTGATCCATTGATTACCTCTGTGAACTTCCTCTCTCAAAAGTAATTACTCTATTCCAACTTTGAGAAAAAAAACAATAGACAAATTCAAATTGAGGGACAAACCTACAAGGTATTTCTTGTTATTAGGTGCTGTGGAGTTGAGCATTGACTCACAGCAACACTATAAATAATAAACTTTGAATCCTTTCCTATCCTGTGACATCCTCATCATCTCTAACACACTTGAGCCTAGAGCTGTAGTCACTGTGTTCCATCTGTTTCATCCAGGTTCTTTCTCAATTTTACCTTTCCAAACATGGTGGTCCCTTTTAAGGACATCATATCCTCTCCTAACAGCATGCCCAAAATATGTGAAACACGAAACTTCTCCCTCTTTGTCTCCAAGGAGCACTTAGGATACATTTTTTCCAAGCCCTGTTCATGGAGTACTCATCAAAACTGTCAAGGTAACATAAATATCAAAAAGCTGTCCCAGCCATAATGCATGTAAATGGACTTAACTACTAAATATAATATGGTATCTTGGATAGAATTCTGGAACAGAAGAAGAACATAAGATATAAACTCAGTTATTCTGAATAAATTATAGCTTAATGTAATTATAATGTATCAGCATTGCTTCATTAGTTATAACAAAAGTACAGTCTTAGTGTGAATTATTAACAATTAAGTACTAACTAGGTATGCAGTGTATAGGAACTCTCTGGATTTGTACTATATTTGTAATTTTCTGTAAATGTAAAACTGAAAGCAAAAGTTATTAAAAATTAATCCTAATGACTGTTGTTTGTTGTTATGTGCCAATGAGTCATCTGCAACTCATAGTGGCCCGATGTACAACAGCCTTAAACCCTGCTCTATCTCTTGCCAATCTTATTGTCTCTGACACACCTACCCTCATTACCTCAGTAACTGAATCAATCCATCTCATGGAGGGTATTCCTCTCCTGTGCTGTCACTCCACCCTCCCAAGCACGACATCCCTCTCCAAGGACTTATCCTGCCTTGTAGCATGTCCAAAGTATGTCAGATGAAGCTTCAGAATCCTTGCCTTCAAGGAGCAGCCTGGCTTCACCCTCTCCCCATCTCCAGGACAAACCTGTTTGTTCTAGCAGTCCATGGTATATTCAATATTCTTCTCCAGCACCACAGCTCAAAGGCATCAACTATCTTTCTATCATCCCTCATCACTGTCCAGCTTTCTAACACATATCAAGTGATTGCAAGATATGGCTTATATCTTGGAATGACTGGAACAGTACATTGACAGAGAACTACCAGAAATACAAGCTGGTTTTAGAAGAGGTTGTGGCACTAGAGACATTATTTCCAATGTCAGATGGATATTGGATGAAAGCAAAGGAGTACCAGATGAATGTCTAGCTGTGTTTCCTTGACTATACAAAGACATTTAACCATGTGGATCACAACAAATTGTTGAATACAATGGGAATCCCAGAACACCTGTTCGTTCTTTTTTTTTTTTTCTAATTAATGGACATTTACATAGATTTTGGATCTCCATTCATTAGTTGTTGCACTTTTCTCCCTGCCCAGCCCTCCCCTCAGTTCACTTCTCTATTTGAAAAGTAAAAGAAAAATTCTTTCATTGGTATACAATCCCCTCACACCCCTCTCCCCCCACCACCGCCCCGAGTACACTCCACTATGCTAAACCTTGGACCAGGAAGCCGTCCTCACAACAGAGAAAGGAAATACTCCATGGTTCTAAATCAGGAAATAAGTGTGTCAGGGATACATCCTGTTTCCATAACTTTTCAATCTGTATGCAGAACAGATCATTTGGGGAAGCAGGGCTTTATGAAGAGTGTGGCATCAAGATTGGAGGAAGACTCATCAACAACCTACAATATGCTGATGATACAACTTTGTTTGATGAAACTGAAGAAGACCTGAAGGGCTTGCTGCAGAAGATCGAGGACTATAGTCTTTAATATGGATTGAAGCTCAATATCAAGAAGACAAAGATTTTCACCACTGGGTCAACTGGCAGTACCATGATAGAGAAGAGAAAATATTAAGGTTGTTAGCAATTACAACTTGCTTGGCTCCACAAACAACACTCTTAACACTAGCAGTCAGGAAATCAAAAGATGAAATACAGTGGGAAAATCTGTAGTCAAGGACATCTCCAGATACTGAAAAGCAATGATGTCAGTCTAGAGACTAAGGTGCACCTAATCCAGGCCATGTTGTTGTTATGTGCCCTCGAGTCGCCTGCGACTCATAGTGACCCTATGTACAACAGCCCTAAACTCTGCTCTGTCCTGTGCCAATCGCACTGTCTCTGACACACCCATCCCAAGTATCCCAGTCACTGAATCAATCCACCTCATAGAGGGCCTTCCTCTCCTGCGCTGTCCCTCCACCCTCCCAAGCATGATGTCCCTCTCCAAGGACCGGTCTCTCCTCACAACATGTCCAAAGTATGTTAGACGGAGCCTCCGAATCCTTGCCTCCAAGGAGCCACCCGGTTTAACCCTTTCCAGGACAAACCTGTTTGTTTTCCTAGCAGTCCATGGTATTCTCAATACTATTCTCCAGCACCACAGCTCAAAGGCATCAATTCTCCTTCTATCCTCCTTGGTCATTGTCCAACTCTCTGATGCATAAGGCCATAGTCTTTGTAATTACTTGTTATGCTTCAGAGAGCTGGACAATGACTATGGATGACAGAAGGAGAATCAATACCTTTGAGTTACGGTGCTGGAGAAGAGTCTTGAACATTCAATGGACTGCCAAGAAAACAAATAGGCCTGTCTTGGAGAGGGTGAAACCAAGTCTCTCTTTGGAGGCTAAGCTCTGTCTCACATACTTTTGGTCAGGAGAGGCCAGTCCTTGGAGAAGGACATCATGCTCAGAAGGGTGGAGGGGCAGGGCAGGAGAGGAAGACCCATGATCAGATGGATTCATACAAGAACTGAGGCAATGGGGATAGTGTGTCAGAACTAATGAGAAGGACTCAGGACAGGGCAGGGTTGAGGGTCACTATGGGTTGCAGGCAACTGGATGGCACATAACAACAACAACATATTGTATTGATTATTTTTTTACTTAAGCTTCTTGTTTAGAGTCAACAAGACCTTTGTATTTAAGTCAATTGTTATTATATTTTGGAGGAGCAGTCTTCTAAGTGGTACAGCACTCTTATGTCAGTTTGCTGTACTAAGGTAACCTGGGGTTGCTGTGATGCTGAACTTTCTGGTGCCATTAGGGGGTCAAATGCCATATGGTTACCCATGGTGGACAGTGTTTGGTGAAGCTCCCAGTTTAAGACAGGTTTGGAAGCAGGAGTGGCATCCACTTCCTAAACAACGTGCCTCTGAAAACGCCATGAACTTTGAGAAGTGAGGACAGCTATAGGAAGGCTTTGGTTCTGTTGTTTATAGAGCTGCTGAGTCATGCTTGACTCGACAGCAATAAACAACAACAAGGGAAATTTATAATTCTGACATAAACTGTGAGGCAGAAGGTCAAAGGACCTGCAAACTGTTTGAAAAGCTGTGTGACTAAGAAACTGTTTCCTGCTGTCAACCTGAATTGGATCCTGTTAACCTTTCTAGTAACCCCATAGCCGTGGGAATGGCTCTCTTAAGATCTGAGTGCTCACTGCACTTTAAAGAAGTCCTTGGCAGCAGTTCAGCCTAATGCAACACACCATTTGGATTACTTCTTGACA